TCTGTACTTACTACCGCAAGTTTGTGAAGGGCTTTGCAACTATAGCTGCTCCACTACATGATTTAACTAAAAAAAAGGCCAGAAGTACAGTCTGCCCTCACATTATGGGGGTTCGGGTTATTGAATTTTACCCATAAGGAAATTATAAAGCATGACCAATAAATTTAAGGTACAGACCATATATTCACCCTTACAGAATTTTGGGGTAAATATGAAAAATGTTTGAAACACAAAATGAAAAAATAAACAACCTATTTGGCAAAAAAATTTTTTTTTAGAAATTCAGAGCATATTTCCAAGCTTCAGTGACATAGATGGCATGTTTTGTTGGTGTACTTTGTTCATATCAGCAAACGCTTCTATTACAATCGCCATACGGTCACACAGTTGTTCTTTGCATCATTTTTCAAAACTTTGCAGTGTATTAACCTTATTCAAGATATCTGAAAAAAAGGTCATAAAGTTGAAATGCAAGTAGTACACCCAAGAGAGCAAGGAAAGGAATTAATTTGGATGTGAAACTTGATGTTTTGTGGAGGTTTGACGCCAGAGAGAAACTTGGCTCTATTGCTAAAACATAAGGGCTTGCTACCTCTACAGTGGGAACAATACATGATAATAAAGAAAAAACCAAGGCAAGTGCTAAAGTAGCTAGACCTCTAAGTGATCATACATTGTATTTTCATAGAATTGAAATGATGATTAATATGGAAAGACTCCCGAGTGTGTGGATTAAGGACCAGATCCAACATAATGTGCCATTAAACATGATGGTTATACAAGCTAAGGCAAAAAGCTTGTATGCAGATTTGGTGACTGAACAAAGTTATAGTGGTAGTTCTGAAGAAAAACCCTTCCTGGCAAGTAAATGGTGGTTTGATAGGTTCAGTATGTGTTTTAACTTGCACAACATCAAACTAAGTAGTATGGCTGCCAGTGGTGATGTAGAAGATATTCTTGTGAACTCAAGAAAATTTGAGATGAAGTTACAGTCCAAAACAAGTCTTCAATGTGGATGAAATGGGGCTTTCTTGGAAACGCATGCCAGATAGAACATTTATTTTTAGGGAAGAAAAGTCTGCATCAGGGTTCAAGGTTTTGAAATATTGTCTGACTCTACTTAAGGGAGGTAATGCTGCTGGAGATTTTAAGTTAAAGCCCTTACTAGTGTACAGTTTCGAAACTCCAAGGGCTCTAAAAGGATTTGCCAAGCCTAATTTACCAGTGATTTGGCACTCAAATAAGAAGGCTTGGGTGACTATAAGTGTTTTTGAAGACTGGTTCATCAATTTCTTCTGTCCTGCTGTTAAAAAGTACTGTGTCAAATGTAATATTGCCAACAAAGAATTTTTCATCTTAGACAATGCACCAAGCCACCCAGTGAACTTAAATGATCTTTCTGATAGTGTAACAGTTGAGTAAATCCCCAAGAACACAACTACATTGCTCCAGCCAATGGTTCAAGGTGTTATCTCCAATTTCAAGAGATATTACTTATGGAGAACTCTGAAACAACTTATTAAAAGTTACTGATGGAGAGAATAAGCCTACAGTTTGTGATTTTTGGAAGAAATATAGAATTATGGATGCAATAGATAGCATCACTAAGTCATGGGGTGTAGTGAAGGAGTCAACTATGAATGGTGTGTGGAAAACATATGGTCAGAGTGTACCAATGACTTTTCAGGGTTCTCCCAAGCAGAAAGTACTGGGAAAGTTCACCAAGATGTTGTGGAGCTTGCAAGACAAGCTGGTTTTGAAAATATTGTCAAAGATGATGTGGTTGAGTTATAAAATTCCCATGAAGAAGAAATTTTGAATGAGGATCTGATAATGTTGAAACAAGAGCAAGCTGCAGAAGAGGAGAATGTTATTGAAACACTACCCATGCAATTTCAGCTAACTACCAAACACTTATCCCAATCCTTTGCCCTCATAGAAGAAGTGGTGCAAATCCTTAGTGCTAATGATCCCAAGAGGACTACATGATGTCATGAACTGCTACAAGGAGAAGATGCAACACAAACAGCAAACAACTCTCTGCCCATTCTTCATCAAAAGAGCTGAGCCTACACCACATCAAGATGATGATCATGATTTACATGGTGAGGCAGCCATCAGTACTAGTACTGAGTCTCCCACTCCCTCCCTGTGTAAAATTTAATTATTTTTATCTACCTACTATTATTTTTAGTGAGTAAAACTATTAAACTATGTCGGTTACATTTAATATGTGTTTACAAATGTTGTATTACATTCATCTGTTTTTATTACTTTTGTGGATCAAAAACATTTCTATAAGAACACATCTAAACTTATAACATAAGAGTCAGTGGGAAAACAGAGTTTGAGTTATGGAATTTTGCTCAACGGAAACTTTTTCAAGAACACAACCTTTTCGTAACACGGGGGCAAATGTACTATTTTTGTATTAATGGAATGCCTGTGAAGTCTTCGAACATACATATGTTGATAAATTAAAAAATACTCACCCTAATGAAAAAGTATAGCATGTCATGTAAAAAAAAAAGATTGTATTAGAGAATTTCATGTTATTGTCAATGTTTAATGAAATAACACCAAATAGACGTTTTACATTATGCTACAAATATCTACATTGGTACCACTGGTGATTACTTTAATGTTCTCACCTGTAATATTCTGTTTGTTAAGTAATATATTTATTGTACATATAGTCACACCTTTTGAAAACTTGGTTATGAACTGAAAATCTATGCAATAGAACTAAACTTATGAAAATTATTATATTAACATAATATTGTGTCTTTATTTTCTAGATACATAAATCATGGCAGTGAACAAACATCAGTGCTACCACCCACGAGATCATCTTCATCTTCCCAGTCACATGAACAAAAGGTAGTAATATTATTTTTTAGGAAATAGTTACATCTTTTTTTAATTCAGTAGGTGAAACGTTACTGTACAGTAATCCTATAAAACCCCACAATCATACCTTCTTATACATGTAGTTCTTTGTTTTTACATATATGTCTTAACAATTCATACAGAGATTTGCAGGGGTTTATAGTAGTCCAAAGTCCCCATTCAACAGTGTCCTGATCTATGGGAAATTTTTGTACTTTCATGTATTGTACCATGTGTCAGTGTTAATGCTTAATATAAACATAAGAAACACTGAGTATGATTTTACCAGTAATAACCTTTATTACTCTTTATAAATGGAATTATTATCAATTTTACTACCTTGTATTGAATAACAGTGCTCAATCAACAGCAAATACCTGGACATGTGACATTGAATTGGGTTATTTTACAGGTTGTACCAGATTATGACCATTAGAATATTCATGAAAAGTTTACTTGCATTGTTTTCTGCTACTTAAGTCTTAACTTCTTTAAAGTATAGATACTATATATAATGTATTGTTGTAGACCTAGTTGTAAGCTTTGTTACTTGTTTAGGTTAACCCTATCATTACAGGTAGCTTGGGGTCAGAGGGCATGTCATTACGTTTGAAGACTTACATTCAAATTTGTATTGAACTACTATTTTATGAATGTATGTAAGTAAACTTGGTATCAAATTGCATATTTAAATTCAAATTTGAATATTATACATTAGTTAGTTTTAATTTGAAAGTAAATATTAAAAAATTGCTTAATATTGATTTTTGTATGTCATCTGGGTTTCGTCAGATTACATTTTGTGATGCATGCAATACAAAATCTATAGTTTTATACAAATTATAATCTCAAATTTCTGATATTCGCAAGCTAAAATATAAAATAAGAACCTCCTAACTTTTCTATTGACTGAGATATCATAATATTTATCGATTCCACCATATTTGCTGTGCCTACCACTTCATAATTTGAGAAGACTTGTTTATCACCTGCTTTTTTATACCTATAACTTTATAACCAATCAAAAGCTATGCATTTTTTCCTAAGTTATTTACGAGAGAAAAGCTCTTCAGTATAGTAATTTATATTTTTTTTGTATTACAAAATGCTTTTATAAAGTCTACAAAAATTGTTATTTTTCCATCTCCACATGTGAATTTGGACAAGGCTTAACAAGTATGGCTAACCAACACAAACAAGAACTTTGTAACATCATAAGTATTAGAGATTATTGTTTTCCAAATATTTTTTATTTACTGTTCTATGTTTGAAGAAAAATAACTGACATTTTAGTATTTATTTGAAAATTATATTAATAATAATAATATATGATAATAATGTATGATATCCAAGTTTACTTGCTTCCAGGTAATAGTTGAACTTAGAGTTTGATGGTTAATAATTTGTTTCTAAAGTTACAATCAAGAAGGTTAAGCCAGGAATACTAACCCAGTCATAATGAGACTTATTTATATTACTGGAACTACACATTTATTGGTTACTGTGTAAGCATGGTAGTATAGGAAACAAGGTGTTTCTACACTCTTACACACATTTACACCTATACCGACACTAAAACCCCAAGATAACTAGCATCCAAATACTTACTAAGTTTATTGGATCGGATACAACTTTATACTTTGTACAGAGCCATATCATAAATATCTTCTCTCACTTTTATAAAGTACTTTAGACAATTCTTGTTGCAACCACTCTACTGTAAATAAGTTGGCAAATTGTACCCCACTTTGTTCTCGGAGCTGGGATTTTGAATAGATTCTACAGGATATTGGATCGGCCTGCGGACTTTCTACAATATCATAGCATAAACATTTTATAATACTTTAGACAGTTGTCATTGAAACCATTATATTGTCAACATGCTGTTAAATTCTATCTCACTATGTTTTTAAAGCAGGGAAAGTTCTAGGAATTGCCCAGCATGAGCTTATTTGATATTGATGATGTAAAACTAAGTAAGGAGTAGCAATTCATTGCAGATTTCTACTTCAGCTGCTAACAGTAGATAAACATAGGAAATAGGTGTGAAAATATTAGAAGAAACTCTCAGGAATTTTACATTAGTTTTGTCTAGTTTGTAAGTCAGCTTGTAACAATAAAATTACTACAGAAAATATGTGTGAAAAGGTGAGAAATATAAACTCTTTGAAACTTTGCAATCAATAGAAGAATACTATACATTATATTTTTTCAAAACTACAAATCCCAGAATAAGTGATAAATTTTGAATAATACTATATTGTAACATAAAGGTAGAAAATGCATAATATTTCATTATACCACAGTATTATAAGTTATATGTTAAGTGCTATAATAACAATAATGTCTACAATATACAGGTTAAAGTCACTATCATACAGAAAAGCTATGTAAAAGAAAACTTTAAAAAAAGTATCTTATTGCTGAGTCTAATATATGTTGCCATTATAAGTCAGTCTGTAATAAAAGTAATAATAAGACTGGAAACCTGGTGGAAAAAAAAATATATATATATATATATATAATAGTAATAATTAATTCAGATGACTGATAAATTCATAAAATACTGATCAGTAATGAACTCAACATATGTTGTGAATAACCTACCACAACCTTAGTAATAATAAAATAAATGATGATAATAAAGTACATTAGCATTCAGTATCTCTAATTATATCATTAACTATGTGCTTAAATTCTCTGATTCTAAATTCTAAGTCTATAGTTCAAGAAACTATACTTCTGAGCTTTAGACCAAGACAGCATTAAAGAGAACCCAAACTAATGCCACATTAATAGAATATTAACTTATAATTAACCAAACTTATAATAACAACATGTTCTATAAGAGCCCTGAGGAGACACAATGGTGAAACATTGGCTCAATAAAAAAAAAATATTCCTAAAGTATCCTGGCCATTTATGTTTATTTTTATATATTATATAGGTAACAAATAGGCCTACAATTTCACTATCTATTGTTTCTTCATGACACTATATATTAATAGGCCTACTGTGTACTGATATTGCTTCAACTTCATGCTGGATCTGTCTTTTCATTCCACTTACAAAAAATCATTACATTTGTCATTGTGCATGCTATGTCCAAAAATCTCCAGTTATTGCAAAGATCAAATAACTGCATGCTTGGGTTTTCCTTGTAAGCCATGTACATGTACATTATATAAAATTCAATAATAAAACAGAAACTAAATACTAAGTATGACTAATTTTTAACACTAATTTGGTTCATAATCATGAGATTAAGAATTGCCATGTTTCTGCACATTATAAAGCACAGCATGTTAACATTATACAACTTGTTTGCTTGGACTTAGGCTGTGGCAGATTTATGACCACATTTTCTCATATTTTTCTTCCTGTTATCTATTACCATTTCCCAAACTTAGTTCAATTCAACTTTTTTAATTTTCAGATTTGTATTTTTCTTCCTATGTTTGTGTTGAAAAAGAGTATTTGGCAGAAAACCTCCACATATTGTTCATTCACTAAATGAGAATTAAAAAAAAAAATGATACTTTTCTATAGACCCTCAGGAAGCAGAATTATGGGAATAAAGGTTATGGGGCAAAACATTTGCCAAATTTGTATAAGTCAAATCTAAAAATCAATAACCAGGTGCACACACCCCAAATCCTCTTAGTATGCATGCAAAGTTTCAGGTCTCTAGGATCTTTCCTCTTGGAGCTATAGTGGTCACACACAGCAGGATCTTTTGTTATTATAGATTCAGCTGTAGATGAAAAAGTGAGGAAATACTTCCATCTTCTTCAGTCACACTATCAGTTTAATCATCATCATCAAATTCAGTAGATGTACTCTGTCCTGATATGATGTAGCTTTGTTGATTTGGTACATTTATTTCACTCTGTTACCTAGATTTCAGTCATACTACAGTTAGAATTATGTTCTAATGGATGTTTTGTAAGTGTTAAGAGTAAAATTACTACAGTAATATTTTAATTACATATGATTGTTAGTAGAATGGAGTTTTTGTAAAAAGTACAGAAAAAGAAATAGCTGTGATTTGAAGAAGAGACAAAAATATTGCATATCTAATTGTTTGACATTATTGTTGTTAATGTTATTATTAGATATTATTTAAAACTCAGAAGTGTGATATAATTGGAAATTACTAGATATTCTTGTAGGATAAAAATATTCTGAGTGTTATCTCAACTTATTGACAGTTAAAATTTCTAATGGTTGCTCCTACATAGAAGCAGAATATCAGAATGTAATAATATAAAAAGCATATTAGGTATATCAAAGAAATTTAGTTATATAATTTCACTCTGTGAAAGCAAACAAGAATACAGAATTGTAGGTTCTGAAGCAGTAGTTGAATAGATTCATGTGATAACAATCAGTAGAATTTAATAATCAAATATACCTTGGATTTTAGTACTTAAGATTTATCACTGAACTTAGATTATAACAAATGATTTTATTCAGAGCTTTAAATAGAGATTTTCTTCAAGAACATGACAAAAAATATAATCATTTTTGGACAGCTTAGTAAGTCACAAATCAATTTTAACAAAAGAGATAAGTGCAACATTGAACTTCAAGGTCCTATAGATCTTAAATTAGTGATTAAGATAGCACTGATCAGCTTCTAAAGTAAAAGACCCATGAGTTTTGATGAATTACTTCAGGAACCAGAACCAACAAATCAAGATGTTGAAAAAGAGTTGTCGCTGCTTGCTTGTTTGATTGGCCAAGCCAAGCCAAAGGATGCACTTCCAGCACAACAGTTTACTTTGAACTTTTTTGGATCTGTAGAAGAGAACACTGAGTAAGTGTGTTTTGTAATCCTTATATGAAAGGTGATAAGTCAATTTATTGTTTCTCACATCCTTTCCAAGTCTTTCAATCTTTGAGTTTGAGTATATTTAATATTTTTAATTTTACTTCTTGGTTTTGTTACTTTTTAACTGATTTATTTTCACTGTTTAACAGTCTTACATACTGAGATATTTTAGACTTTCTACTAAGAGCCTAACTCATATATTAATATTTATCTACTTATCTTAACTTCCCCTTGAACAGAAGTGTGGATTGATTTACTTCTATGCAACAACAGCAGATCAACTCATCTTACCAAATACAGACCAGCCATTGAACCAACAAAACGTATTAATATTAAAGACTATAGTTTGAAATTGGTCTTAATTTTATGTAGAACTAACCTGTAAAAATCTATGTTTTGTTTCATTAAACCTGAACCACATGTATATTTGTTTTATGTTTTCATAAAGCATATGTTAAAAACAAGATCTTCAGTGTAATGATAAACAAATCCTGTAACAAAGGCCTGATAAATTGATAAGAATTATTTGGAAAACAATAAGAAATCTTATTTGGAGCCAGTAATATTGTGGTAAAGGGTTTAGTTTGGAAAATTGGTTGTTTGCCAAAAAATTAAGCATACAACATATAGAAACCTATATTTTTCTGGCCAATGAGCCTATGAAAATCTACACTGTTATATCCAATTTTTTTTTATCAAAAATGGACTGGGAGGCCTGTAACTATAAGAGATATTTGCTCATATTGATAACACAGGCCTGCAGTGGTTTTACTGTCTTGATAATACAGTAATTCCTGTATGCTGAATCCAAAAATGATACCCATTATTTTTCCCATCACATACAGATTTTTCACGAAATGTCATAACGCAATACATAAAAGAAAAACCACAACACGTAGTTTTGAGACTAAAAGACGTAGATTTCACACAAAAATCAGGATGAATGAGGATGCATGTTTGTTTGACATCAGTGTTCTTCCTTTTTCTTCAGTTTGTTTGTATTTTTGTTAACAAATGTAATAATAAAAAATGTTCATTGTGGTAAACAAGATAATAATTTGATAATAATAATAATTTGTAAAAAGTCCTTATGTGATAGAAAAAAATGAATATTATTTTCAAAATATGCATAGCTGAATTATGGAAGATCCATTAATAAAACAAAAAGAACTTTTGTTAAGTTTAAGTTCGCAGGTCTCTATAATTAATGATGAAATATATTACTAAATTGAACTTTGCTCACATATACCATGTTGGGTATAGATTTTACATAATCCCATAAAATGTTATTGTTTTTGTTTCAGGTTGAAAGAAAAATTGGAGAATTTAACTATCCACTAAAAGCTACTGCAAATTAACCTCCTTATGTAAAAGAATACAGTTGTGTGTAGATAAACAAAATCCATGTTATTTAGTATCCAAGTATGCTACATATTTAAAGCTCTTGTGGATAATATTCAATATCAAAGATCTAGCTAAGCTGGTGAGAGCTTGAAACTGTAGTCCATACCTAATCTAAAATATCCAGTAGAACAAGTGTTACATTATAACCTTTAGTGCATAGGCGGGAGTCAAAGTGCAGATGTCACAACCCTTTTACGGGTGCCATTCAACATAGCGTTATGTATTTGATGTCAACTATTCATTTTACCATACATTGTTGATTTAGTGACAGTACATTGTAAAGGAGAGTAAATACCAGATAGAGTATACAGAGATACAGAAAAAAAAACTGTAGATATGCATTTCAGAGGTTATGCATTATGCACAATGGAGACAAAATTATTTTTATTCTACACATTAACATCACTTTGCACTCTGACTTCTCAAAGTTCAGATCAGATTGACATCATCAATTCATAGACATATCTTGAATTGCAGGTATCTTTGTAACATACCTGATTTATTGGTGTACAACATAGTTTTACATTTTACTTAAAGCTTGCTATATCTTATGTAGATACACATAGTAAATCTGGAATTATATTGAACATTCTTTCTCCAATAGAGGATCAGTCCAGTGCACCAAGATAGAGAACATCTGATTAATGGAAGAAATTCATCTCTTGTAGTTGTATAGTGGTAAAGCAAACCACTCTTTGATTCTGCCAAAGTGTTTGACTTTATTCGCATTAACAGTATAGTATCTATACTATACATACATATAAATTCTGATAAATTCTTCTGAACATTGTGGTATTGAATACTTTATAACTGTATATGGTAAGGGAGATTTTAAGATAATGTTCCAGAGTGAAATTTATGGTTTAGAGATTGATCTAATCAACTTGCTTTCAATCAGTATTTACTCTTCATCAGTAAATTCTACCTACATTTGTTTGCCCCATTATGAAAAACACCAGGTATTAAATTATTTTATCATATTTCTTTTAACACTTATAAATATTGTATAAATGAAAGTATTTATTACATGATAAGGCTTTTGTTCTTTTGGTCACTATTGCATATATCTGTTGATATACATCAATAATAATTAAAAAAAAAAAGAGTATAAAGTAAAAAAATCAACAAAAATTAATGTTATGTTTTAATTCTGAAGTTAAACTTTTGTTGTTGTGAATTATTAATAAAAACTTCCATATTAAAGTACAAAAGAGTATAATATTATGTCAGTAACACTTATATCTGTTATATCCATTGTTGACAAATACAAAGGCTCTTCAGGCTTACTGGGATACAATATACATAGTGTGTTATTCTCAGATAAAACTGATTTCAGCATAAGTAGTAGGTAGGTCTGCTTGATAACTACAACATTGAACAGGAAATGTAATGAGTAAATGCTTGAATGAGACCTAAGCTTGAGAAGATAAGGAAACTGGACACAATCTTTATTTATTGAAAAAAGCAAGATAAAAACAGTGTGTGTACTTTTGCAGACACACATTAACTTCTACAAGTCTAGTGCATTGGTTGGTAACTTCTTTCTTTTGAGACTAGATTATATTGCATTAAACACTAGGATGACAAGAGTAGCACTGATCTAGAACTAAAGTATTGAAATCACAAATAAGCTGTGGTCCTTACCCTGTATGTGGTGAGGGTACATCCCAGGGAAGGCTCTGTATTTTCAGTTTATTTCCTCTGGGATCTGAATATCCACCCACATGTTTCCCGTGAAGGGGAGGAGAGAATCCTGGTGGTTGAGTGGTGTTCGGGATACTGCAACACACCACTTTGACCTTGAATTCCTTTAGATGGGTAGCCTTGGGGTAGTCCCCCCCAGGGTCAACTGAGTACCAGTGTTGGGCATTCTCATTGAGTGTTGTGGACATTGTGTCTGATGCTGGTGTTTGAGTATAGTGCTTACGAAGCCCTGGCATTGGTGCAGTGTCCATGTTTGGCATTGTAGTGCATCCCCTCATAGTGGGTGAGATCAGTGGGCACTCGATCTTTCTCATTTTATTATGGATGTCCCAATCCTTAAAATAATTATAAAAAAAACAGTTAATTGGAAAGTGACCAGGATTAGAAGACTCTGATCTCCAATCCCCACCTCCTACTCTTTCTGTACCTCATTTTCTCATCATTCATTCTTTTACTCAGAAGTCATTAGGACAATTGTCTCCCTTTTTTTATTCAGAAGGGTTTAGAGGGTTTTGCTGGCTCTCCAAATTCAGTAAAGAAGCACCATTCTGGAGAGATTTTAGTGGAAACATCTACACCTAAACCCAGCAAACTCCACTTTAATTTGAAGGCCATTGGGGATATACCTATTGAGGTTACTCCCCATGCTACTTTAAATTCTTCCCAAGAAGTCATCCTTGAGAGGGATTTACAGAACATCCTCAAGTCAGAGATTCTTGATCATTTCTCCAGCCAAGAAGTGTCTGCTGTGAGATGTATCTCCACTTGTAAAGCGTCAGTTGTAATGGTTCACATCTCTATTATGTTCATTCTTGTCCTAGGTGGGTGGAGGAGAAATAGGTACAGTATTTAAAAACTGTTAACAGGATTTCTTATCCAGAGGCTTGGAAGTTGTTATACCCTACTCCATCAAGGACATACACTGCTGCGCTACATTCCACTGCTACAGTGTGCAGACAGAGTTTTCCATGCCTCCATCAAAGTCTTTTTCACACCATGTGAAGAGTCTTTTGCCTCTGTGGATAAAAAAGTTGACAAGTCAACATTTACTCCTATCTCTGTCCCCAACATTGCTTCCAGTGACTGCTCAGGTCCATCTCCTTCAGCCCCGGCTTCCAGTGTATGCTCAGGATCATCTTCTTCAGCCCTGAGATACAGAACGACTATTCATTCATGCCCTCAGTTACTGGAATCTGCTTTTACCAACAGAGATCTGCCTACTCGATCCAGGGCAAGATCCATGGAAGTCAACAGACCTCCTTCTACCACAGTTGTTCACAGTTTTTTTAACTCATCATTTTCTTTTATCTGGTACTGACCCACCAATAAGTAATCTATATGACACTCAAGTTACAGTAGCCCACATTTTACTGATATGCTCTCATTACAACTGTGAGTGGTGGCACCATTTTTGACATGTACTTTCTATGGGCTTACCCCTAACATTGGATGGTTTCATCGGCAATGGTGACACTGTTCAACTTGAGCGTGTTTTTAGTGTTTTGCAGAACATAAGCTTTTTTAATTCTATTTAAGTTTCTTTTTGTTTTACATGATTTTCAAACTTTGTTTAGTTTTAACTTGATTTATTTTTACATTTTATAATCTTTTACTTTCGATATTTTTACCAGTTGTTTGGTGCAAATAGCCTCGTTGCTTTGCATGATAAAATGCCAAACAACCAACCCTCGTGATAGCATCACTACATGAGTAATCATTCTCTCACAGCATTCATCGGCTGTAGCAGATAAACATTATCCACTTGGCCAGCAAAGGATATTAGAGTCATTGACCCTTTAAGAAGGATGTGAAGCATTATTGCAACATCCCATTGGGCAGAGTAGATATTTAAAACAAAGGCACAGGGGAAACTAGAA